TAGCAGCATTTTGGATGGTGTTTTGTTCTTGTCAATAGACTTCATAGAATTCAACAACAAAGCATTACTGTGCAAAAATGTACATCTTTCAAAGGGAAGTGTTTGGGTGAAGACCAGAGCAGTGAAAGAGGAACATGAAACATTTCTGACTTAGGAACAGAAAGGGATTCTTCTACAAAAAAACCATTGAGATAGAAACGTTGAGAATTGTTCCCACAGAAATGATTCTCACTATCCACAATAAAAAGCAAAATTTTAAAAATAAATATGGGAGGCCCCTCACAGAATTACTAGGGGGAAGCAGAAACAGAGGAGGGTAAAACAAGTAAATAAAAAAAAATACAAGAGGTGTGCAGTGCTTTCTTTGTGATGTTGAGACAAAAAAAAAAAAAAGAAAAAAAAAAGCAGAGATTGTGTAGGACTAATGCTGGAACATTTATTAAGGTTCTGACCTTTACCTACCAGTCTGCTTTGTATTTAAAAACGCAGTATGTCATACTATTCAGTACAATTCTCTGTTCAGCACTGGGAGTTGTACCAGGCCTAATCAAGGTTAAAATTGCAAAGAATAGCAAACACAACTTGCTCTTGACTTTCTCTACCTTGTCTCCCTACACACATACAAAACCAACATAATATCCCTGTAAGGAGAAGTTGTGAGAGACAGAGACAGAGAAAGAAAGAAAGAAAGAACAGAGGAAAAACTGCAGTGGGATGTCAAAGATCTCTCTTCTGACCATCAGTGCCAGGCTCTGAAGTTCACATAATTCCTTATTATCTACAGAGATAAGAACTCATTGCCCAAAGGAGGACTTGGCCCACAGTCTAAATCTCATAGGATTAACTTAAATGAGCCAGTTTCTGTTAACTTTGCTCAACACCTAATGTTAATTAACTTAAACATTCAAAATACATTACAAGTGTCTCAAATACTCATTGAAAATGTGAAAAATGGCCTATTCACATTGTCTGTAAGGCTCTGAACCTTTATTGCCACTCCATCTCTACAAACTGTCTCTTTGACGGCCCCCATTCTTTATGAGGAATCATCCTTTCCTCAAAGATTTTCGATTATCTCTCCATCCTGCCCGCCTACCCTGCTGTAATTTGACAGACAGCTGTTGGTGGATGCTGGCCAAAAATAAAAATCACTTGACAAGCCATGATATAAATGCCTTTAAACTTGGGCCTCTGAAAGCCTACTGAAGATGGCAGAGAGAAAAAAAAAAAAAAAATCACTTTTTGACACAGCTGCAAGGCTCATGAAACCCCCAGCTCCAAAACACTGTAACAGGCTGAGAATTTAGAGACAAAAGAGGAAGAGAGCTAAAGCAAGCAGCTATCTGCAAACACCAAGGCAGGCTTAGTCTGTAGCGTTGAGCCCATTACCCAGTTTTTCAACCTCCTCCCACCCTCTCAGGTTTTCTATGGCTAGAAACGATTGTGTAGGATGAGAGCAGAAATTTTTTATTATTGTTATTTTCATTGTTATTATTCACCCTTATACCCAGGGAGGAAAATCCATGGTACGAATCTGCACTGAAAGGCAGGATGCCCTCGTAGTCACAAGCAGCATTTCTGACAATGGATCTTTAAAGTCAACACAGTCTGTTCTGATTGTGTCATCTACAAGAGGGCTTTGTATCGGAGGCTCCGTTTTCTCCTTATTTATTACATGCTATTCATCACCTTTCAATAGCCCTCCTCCTCACAAGCTCCCTACTGCAAATAGATACATCAGCATTTGTGTGGTAAGAATTGGAAGTGTCATGCAGTAATCGCGGTGACCTGTACAATTTTTCAACACAACCATCATATTCCATTATGGTCAGAGGCCCTAAGTATCAGTGTAAGAGGTATCAAACCACACGAGGATCCTAAACAGTTCTCTTTTTCAATATTCTGAATGCCCTTTGCCTTGTGTATTGAGGCACTCTGCATGTAACCTCGCATTTAACGCTCTCAACACTCCATCCTTCATCACAAACAACAATTTTACTGTCTGAAGAACATAAAATCCCTGTAATCCTCTCATCCATGGATTATTATTTTTTTAAATAACTTCTCCATTTGCATACAGTGACAATTTATTACTGTCATCGGAATAATAATCTGGGAGGCACCCAGCTATCACAGGAATTAAGTGAAGCTTTTCAAAAGGGCAGTAAGCTTGACCTACTTACCCATAAACGTAGGGAGAGATTCAGACAATCTCTACAGACTGGCAGACAAAGGAAACAAACCTATTCTTCATAAAATAGGGGAGAGAGAAAGCAGCAAACCTGTGCTATTTCCTCAGTTTTTCTTAATTTTTCTTCCCAGGTTACAGTCATTTCCTGAATCAACTTTTCGGATTCCTCCAATCGTTCTTTTAATTCTGGTGATTTCATAGCCTGCAAAAATAAAAGCAAATAAAACCAGAAAGCTTGTTGTGTGGTGGTTTGTTTGTTTTTTTCACATCACTGTCACACAGATGGGGAAAAAAGGAAACATAACATTACTCAAGGCATACTTATCAGTAAGTAAAGGGTTCTTTTTTAAATACATATTGCATACAAATGCAGAATCCATCAAAAAGTTAATTAGTTTCAAATACAGATGCTAAAGTGGAGTTTATATACATCAATACAAACCAATTATATGATACTGACTTGCACAAAGATATTCAAACGCAAACTCATTTCTATACCAACATGAGTATCCCTAACGACTCATATCTAAACCAACCTTGTTTCTCAAATACTGCTGACCTGGCTAGCCACCACTGCCTCAGCTGTCCTTCCCCCCAAATGGCACTTAACATCTCAGTCACTTAAACTGCCGTGCCACCAAAATATTTTTATTGTTCATTTTGATACGGCCTGACGGGTGTGATTTCTTCTTTCTGTAGCAAATATCAAGGCATCTGAGGTGTTCTGGTTACTCACCCCTACATATGCATTTTACAAAGCAGATATTGAAAGAAGCCTTACCATGTGCTTCCAGGCACCGGAATTCAATTTTCTTTCTAACTCATCACAGCTCTAGTTTTGTTTTGTAAAATAGCCAAAGGCCCATGTTCCATCCAAGGACTAACTTGAGAAGAAGAAGATACCCCCATTGCCCCCCATCAGACACTCCAAAAACCAAAAGGACATCAGCATTTTCATACTGCACATATTTACTTCCTCCAGTCTTGGTACTGTCATACTCCTTCTCTACTACCCTGAACAGGAACCTGGGGACTTCCTTACGTTGTGATTTCATTACTGCTAACAAATGACAAAGGTTTTGGCTGGTGGCTATTTCTGCAATGCCAGTTAAACAATCCAAGCATTGCTCTCCATCAGGTATTCCCTTACCACAAAACCAAAACTCCTCACAGGAATCCAAATCAAACAGAGTGGCCTCATTACAGTGCAGTTCGTTCACGAAAAGGAGCAAATGCCAGGGGTGGAAAATCCTGTTTTAGAGACAGGAGTTTCCTCTGCCTCAAGACACAGCAGCCTAGGAATTGTCATCTGATGTGCCCCGTGTCATTTTTTTCTGGTTGACTATCTCAAATACCCAAACACAGGGTTAAAGGGAACATGAATTCCATCACCCAGGAAGGAAAATGAAACCAAGGCGATCTCCAGAACAAAGATTTATTATGACTGATACAACATCAGCACAAAGGTGCTGGACACGACAGAGCAGGACAGGAAGATGAAGCCCACTTACTCTCCAGGTCTAAGTCTTGTTGGTCCATTTATTTGGACCTGGGGCAAAATTACTCACATGCTTCAACTGTAAAATGAGCTAGATAATTCTCCTCACTCCCTCCAACGCTTACATAAACAACAGATACATGGGCACAGACCTACGCCAGCCCAGCAGGTGTGCTTCTCTGCTGAAAGCAGCTCGTTTAAATTCCCAGCTTAGGAAGGACAAGCTGGTCTTGGCACAGACAAATTAGAACATGTGATAATAATTTTGACAAGAAAAGATCATAATGCATGGATTAACAAAGAAAAAGGGAAAAGAGAATAATGCCTTGCTCTTCTGGGAGAAAAAAATGTGAACTGTCAAGTTCTGCTCTGCCTTGGCTGTTTAGGAGAGAAAAGGATACTGACACCAAAAGTGAAAAAAAAAAACCTCAAAAACCCCAAAACCACAACTTGGTGACCTCTATATTTGGCAATGAGCTTTGAAAATGTAACCTGACTGTCATAACAGGTCAATGGTTTTGTTCATTAAAAAAAAAGTTATTTATGCACATTTCTGTAAGAAAATGAGATTAGCTACAAAGGTATTAAACTGAAAGGAGCATAAGACAATGTGGTTTTTGACCTTTAGTGTGTAGCCTCTTAATAGCAAACTACACCGTTTTTTCCATGCTCTTTGTCAATGCCACTGAGATGACAACGAGGGTGGGATTTTAATACTTGGTGCACATTTCTGTAAGAAAATGAGATTAGCTACAAAGGTAGTAAACTGAAAGGAGCAGAAGACAATGTGGTTTTGACCTTTAGTGTGTAGCCTCTTAATAGCAAACTACACCATTTTTTCCATGCTCTTTGTCAATGCCACTGAGATGACAACTAGGGTGGGATTTTAATACTTGGCAAAGGAAATATTTATTACTTCATATTTAGGAAACACTACTTCATTACTTTGGAAAGCTGCCATTATTTTGGCATTAATGCTCACAAATGACACAATCAGGGAATACTTGCATCCCTCAGAGTGAAGTCTGTGGTTCATATTTTAGAGGAATTTTTAGACATTTAATTTGAGATACCTTAAAGAACCTGATACACACTCACTGGATGCTGAGCATATTAGGCAACTCAAATGAGAACAGTCACAAATTCACCAGTCATTTCCAATATCACAGCCAGCATTCCCTGCATATCTCATGAAGCAAATACCATAATAATAATTTTCCTGCATTGCAAAACAGATGGATTAGATCACCATTGCTTTGCCATGTTTAAGAACAGAACTCAGAATCACACTAGTTCTTGGCTTTCATTTACCATTTAGACCATGCTCCTTTCACAATTTCATTGAGGTAGCTGTGCAGATATTCATCACATTCTCTAGTGCCTGTAAGAGATTCTATTTAGAACAGTCGAATCTTGTAAGCAAGAAGGCATTACTTAACCGAACTTGCATCTCACAGGATGTAGCCACACTGAACTCCTAAAACACACCGGCAAAGCTCTGCCCATAAACTGCACAATCTTAAGACTCCATCCCTATTCCTGCCTGCATGTCCTCTTGCTTTTGATCTGTATCTCACACCAAAAACAAGATTGCTCAACAAGGTGTTCAAACAGGACCTGGTATCTCACGTTATCACCCGTGTTTCAGGACTGATGTACAGAAAAATGGAAAGAAGGGATATAAGGGGAGATTTCTCATAGAGACCATGTAGTAATTCTTTGTGGCATTCATTTTCGAGTGCCAGGTAAGAAAGTCCTGACAACGGGGTTTACAGGACTTACTGGTCGAGACTAAAATGTGTACCTCTGCTTTTGTGAGCTGTTCCCGCAGCTTCTCCACTTCCTCACGGAGCTCCCGAATAATGCGAGCATTGGGGTCTTCATTCACCACAGCGTGATTAACGATGTTCTTGGCCCGGTCTGCGTACCTCAGTGTTGAAAGGGTCTCATCATAGTTGTCTGCTGCTGGGCTTACTGTTGCTACCATGGCAGTCTTGCTGTTACCACCAAGGCTATCCTGGAAAGTGGGAGAGGTTAGAAAATTAAAACAGAATGTTTCCTTCGTTTTACCCAGTCAATGAACTTAGGCAGTGAATAATAAGCTAGGGTTGGGAGTAGATCGGGGCAACTAATAACAGAAATATTTTTGTCAGAGCTCCTCAATTCAAAATTAATATTCTAAAACGTGTAAATCAAGGAAAGTTGTTATTTTCAAATTTATTTCTTTTTTTTTTTTTTTTAGCACATTTAGGAAACGTCATTCTTGGCTTGCAGAATCAGTTTTAGTTTAAACACAAATGAAAACAGTCCCTTTTTTAGGCTTTATGGTGCCTAGTAAGTGCTTCAAAGGTTTACTTCTATGTTTTCTGCTTAGGTTTATAAACCAGAAATGCAAGCACTTCAGCATTAGACCTCTCAGAGACTACTGAAGAAGCTCAGGAAAGATCATGATGAATTCGAACATCTTCTTTGAAAGACTGGAAGAGAGATGTTTCCAATAAGCACTTAATTGAAATTATTTAAAGATCACCTCATAAACAATATAGTTTAGTTTATTATTTTAAATATTTCAGAATAGGGCCCTTCCCCCAAATTTCACAGCTCACAAATCTAAATCGAGTTACGTAAGAAATTACCCTTTTGGAATTTGGTTGACAGAGAAGAAGGGCGTGAAACCACATTCCTGTAAGGCAGTGTGTAGGAGGAGAGCGGGAAGGAAGGAAGTGTTCAATCTTTTTACTGATCACAAAATTGTGGTTTACAATTTTGGCCAGTCTAAAAGATAAAGTATTCTGCTTTGAATTTTGCAGCAATTTTTTTTCTAGGACTTTTGTTTTGTTTTGCTTTGTTTGTTTTGGTTTGGTGTGTTGGGGTTTTTTTGTTGGGTTTTTTGTTGTTGTTGTTTTTGTTTTGGTTTTTTTTTTTACCCAATATCCCCTTCTGAGATGAACCATGCTATTAACTTTCATCTTCAATAACCCATGAAATCTAGGTCAGGCGTTGCCATTACAACAATCTGACTCCATTAGCTGCTTGCCTAACCATTTCAATTACAGAGCACACATGTAGCTTTCCCCAGCAATCATTAAAACGCCCCTTTAAGTATCTCCTTAAGACTCTCTTTTTTTGCTGCATGATGCCTGAAAGAGTTTGACAGCAGTCTGGCTGCTTCAGCGGTCAGACAAGCATTGACCACACACACCGAGGCTGCTTCACCGCTGCATTCACTCCGCTGTCTCTGGTCATGCAAAAGGGCAGCGAGCTCTTTGGGTAGAGAATATAATTTCATTTGTAAAGTCTTCAGGACAGCGAGATGCTTGCAGGTCAGAGTATTTATAGAGAGGAAAAAGAACAGCCTTCTGACTGATACCACCATGTTGATTTTTTTTTTTCTCATCTGAGGAGCAGACAATGTTTGCTCCAATAAATACATGGCTTGGGAGGACCCACTCTGTAACACCGAAATGTTTTTCCAAAGCATCTGCTGAAAACTTTAAAAAGACTAACAAGAGCACATGACTCATTCGATGGGCTTTCTTGCCCTACAGAAGCCGGGACTTTTCTTCAATCTGTCAACAGTTCTCAAAAGCTTGGAATGACACCTTGCAACTGCAATCCCTGTTCTGTACAAAAAGACGAAATTTATCAGGGTGCTGGCCAGGTACTCTGCTTCCAAATCAAACCTTTACAGTTCGCACTTTGGGAACCTCCTTCACTGCACTATCAGCTCCAGAATAGGATTAATTCATTATTCGAATTGCAACTGTGCTGTACAGGCAGCTGAGAACGCTGTTAACAGTGATCCACCATAATTCACAAAACGCCCATTATAAGTAGGGTAAAGTTCCTCTTGTAGCTATTCAAGCCCAAGGCCAGACTGCCCGATAAAGTTTTATGTATAAAATTGTTGTGCTGATTTCACTGGTTTCTTTAATGTTAAGCAAGAAAGGTAAATGAGCCAGCCTCTCATTAGGGAAGACAGCACCTGCACCCTGGAAAGGCTGGGCTTGCATGTGACAGAGAGAAACACAGTGGAAATAAATAAGTTTAGTTATTTCTGAGGCTAAACGAGAACAGTCTTCCCTAGCACCAAGATTTACTGTGAAAACAACTTAAAATGTAGAGATCAGAAATTATATTTCTAATAGCAGCCATCAGTAAAAGATACAGGGCTTTGCAATAAAATGGGACAACAAGATAATTATGCCAATACAGTTTGATAAAACCAAAAAGTTAAAGCACTGACAAGCTCTTTTGCTTCCTACACATAACCTGATGCCACTCTTCAAGCCTCCTCTTGCAATAGTATTTTTCACCTGGTATTTTAATCTAACGATCCTCAACAAAAATCAAACAAAAAGTGTTAGATCCTGAGGTCTCCTGAACTCTACCGGTTTCTCAGGTTTGTGGATAGACCCTATATGACAGATATTCCTAGTGTCAGAACACATTTACTCATCTTCAGCATCATAATTAACAGTTGAAAGCTAGAGAGAAAGATAGCCCACCATCTCACGGCTTCTACGAACAGCTTCTTTGAATGAATAAATCCCTCCTTTGATCTTTAATTAAAGAAATGTTTAAATTTTCCCCTTTCAAAATAAAGTTTTTCTTCAATGAGCTTGTTTGTAAAAAACTCCAAAAGCTCCAAACCTTTTGTTTGCACTTAACATAGCTGGATGTTAAAGACACAAAGAAGGTTTGCCTGAAAGAAGGCAGAACAAAAGTGCGCCTCAATTTATGAGCTAAAGCATGTGCTGGGTATGGCCATCGTCATTGTAACTACAATGCACCAGACAGGTGCTAAACAGGAATTTCAGTCTGCTCGCTGGATTTGTTTACAAATGGAACAGCACAACTAATTCTAACAACACTAGAAATCCGTTAGGAAAGTTTCCACTCCACTTGCTCGGACATTTACAGTCACATCAGGACCCCAAGCACACATCCCACACCACAGCAAACTGAAGCAAGCTGCAAGCTGGTTTTGTTCCCATCTTTGCAGAGAGCCAAAAAGTATTTCTTTAATTAGAGTAAAAACCCAGTGTAAATATATAGAGGCAAAAATCTATTTAAACACTAAGAATGTCTTAGGGCAAGGAACACTGTAAAATGAGGATTTAGCTTACTGCAGAAAAGCACAGACACTGTTTCTGTTATGCCATTCTGATTTTTATGTGGGCCTCATGACTGCACTGTTCGATGTCCAGTATCTGTGATGCTTACACTGGGGAAAGAAATAAAACCTCCACAGCAGTCATTCTGAAAGGTTCATTAAAAGACAGCCCTGAGAAAAATGAAGGCTTGTGGTGGCAAGGGGTTACACGAGTAGAGATTTGATTTCACATAAGCATTGAAGTCAACTTTGTTTTCAAATCTCCTTAAGGAAAACATCTTTTTCATCTCCACACCTCTGTATAACCTGCAAATAACTTTTTTCCTTCCACATGTGCAGTTCAATCATTGGGATGTAAGATTCAAACAACACTGAAAAACATTGCTAAGAATGGGTGGGCAAGCAAAGCAGAGTATTGGAGACAGCAAAATCTAGCCAGAGCAGCTACAAAAAAAGGCTGGTGGTGCCAAAAATAATTTTCTTCCCAGATTATACCTTTCTATTAACAAATATATCTTAGTTGCTCCTTGATAACAATAAAACAGAGGATAAGGGAAAAAAGGAAACTTGCTAAGTTAGTATGTGCATGAGACATGGTTACTAAGGATCGTGGTAATCAAATGATGAAAGAGAAAAATTTTAACAAAAGGACAGGTTACAAAAATGAAACCAAAGTAATCTACGTATGACACCTAATTCAACAATCCTTCAAAATCCAAGTCAACCAAGACCACTCAAGCTCTACCAGGCAAGATAAGAAAAAGAAAAGCAAGCCACCAAAAGCAGGCAAGCTTTTTACAGCTCCAAGGGGCTGCATTGGTGCTTGCCACTCATTCAGAGAACTGGAGAAATCCAAATGATGACTACACCTGAAATCAAAATCGCACTCCCAAGATTTTTTGCCATCAGGCTGCCATGACTTACAGTCACTGTATGTAGGAAGTGGGAAGAACAACAAAAACTAAAGCTTGTCTTTTAATTCAACATACATAAAACTCATATTTAATAATCTGTTTTTTTCATTTAGACCTTACAGATCTTCATCCAAGTGCCATTGTGATACACTCCTTTTCCCCCAAAAAGAACACCAAATAGAGACCTATGCAGTACAGAAAATTATTTAACTGTTCATTTCACATGAATTTGATGTACAAACTCTTCTGACCTGTGCCTCAGACTGTAACTGGGATAATGCTCTGCAATTATACTCCACTGACAAAAGTAGAGTATATTAATATATTAGATAATTAGGAAAAGGTAATAGTCTGAATCAAAATCTTAAAATCTAACCATCCCAGTACGTAAAATTCAGTTGCATGTGCAAATAACCCAAATTAGCCCCAAGGTTGTGTGTAAAGCTGTATATAAACAGACCCATAAAAGATAATGCTTTTTTTGGGTTTTTTTTTAAAGTTCCTTATTCTTTAGGCCATTACAGGTCAGTGGAAGACAGGAAACGTTAGTCTGTAGAGATACTAATGGCTTACACCCAGCTAATTTTCCAAAGACAATTACGGTTAACATCAAACCAGACACAAGGCAAAAGAACAGCGTTTTATTTCATTGAATGGGACTCTTATCCCCTTTTCCTCCTTTTTATTTCTCTTTAAAAAAACTAGATCAGAGTACTTACTTTAAGTAACCATGTGAGCACAGAATCACGATAAGGAACAAATTTGTTCTTGTTCTTGCCAGCAGCCTGATCTGCCAGAGCAGAAATAACCAGCCCAAGGGTTGTGAGGGATCTGCACAGAGAACACACGCAGTCATTAACAAGTGTAAATATTCATAAGTCAAATGCATATTTAGACAGTGACTTTCTCTACAAAACTGAGCTCTGAAAAGAAAGTTCCTAGTGCAGTTTTCATCACTCTCTTCTCACAAAAGCTCTACGCCTTGTTTTCAGCCTTAATAATCATGTCATCACAAGGCATTTAAGAATAAATTTAAGAATTTATAATAATTTATTTTAAAATAGAAATGTAATATATTTAGTATTTAA